AGATAGATAGATAGATAGGTAGATAGATAGATAGATAGATAGATGGATAGACAGATAGATAGATAGATGATAGATAGATAGAAGATAGATAGACAGATAAACAGCTAGAACAGATAGATTGTGCTCAACACACGTAAACACATACATATGTAGTTATGGGACAGATAAATACATAGATAGGCGCATTGACAGATACATATAGCTCATAGATGTGATAGGTAGGTAGGCAGATAGATAGAAGATAGATGATAGATAGATAGATAGATAGATAGATAGATAGATAGATAGGTAGATAGATAGATAGGGATATAGATATATTCACACTTGTGTCCCCAAATAAAATTTGGTATGGATCCAGAGGTGGAGCTTCTTTCTTTTTCCTCAAAGAGATTTTTAATTGAATTTTATGTATTTCATACAGAATATCTCAATCAATCTTAATTATCTTTATACCCCCTTCTGCACTTGCATCCTCCCATAGCACCTCCACTGGAATTCATACATGCTGTCGTTTGTCTCAAGGTCTATTGTGTCAAGTTAGTGTCCCTAGATGTTCCTAAGTGCAAGTTCATGTACTAAGGTCTAGTCAGCCTATCTAGAGTCTCTCTCTTTAGGAAAATCAGCTCTTACTCTCCCAGCAGTGATCAGTTGCCAATATTTCATCAGCTAAGATTGGGGCCCACTGTCCATTTCCCCAGTCCTATGTTGGGTTTTTGTCTGTTTGAGTTGGTTAGAGTTCTGTGCCTGCTGACACCATTGCTGTACGTTCATATGAGCAAAGTCTCAGGAGCCTGTAGTTCTCTGTTTCCATATGGTCATGGACCTCCTCCCTGACTCTTACAATCTTTCCAGCCCCTCTTCCAAAGTGGTCCCTGAGCCCTGGGTGGGTGAAGCTTAATATAGGTATCCTATCCAAGGACCAGCATTCTGCAGACTCTGTCTCTATACTTTGGCCATTTGTGACCTTTTGTGTTCCTGCCCTCTGTTTTGTGAGGGGGCTTCATTAACAAGAATTGTGATATTCATTATTGTCTTCTTTACCCCTTGTTCTGTGTTCTGTGAACCTTGAGTATAGAGGTTGCATTGTAGATGCACCAATTAGAATTGGGCAATTCACAGACAATGTCCATGTGTGACCAGTTGTAGAACTCTGTAATAGTCTCCTTTGGTGCAAAAGAAGCTTCCTTGATGAGTAATGACTGAAATATTTGTTTGTAAATATAAGGATATATATTTTGCACATAAGAAATTACATTAGTCTAGGGATGTGACAGTCTTGGGATTTTCTTCTGTAAGATCTATGACCTCTCCAGCCATGTGTATTTGGCTATGTTTACAGTACCACACATGAGTTTCCTCCCATTGAGTGGGCTTTTAGTCTAATTAGGTTGATTGCCCCCAAGATAAAAGTGCCACTACTGCACCAATATCGTGTGCTGTGCAGGTCATTAATGTGGTTATTTGGCCTTAAAGCTGGTATTGGACCACTGATTGATGTTCTCTCTTAGCACCTTGTATAGTGCTTTCCAAAGCTATGATATCTAGCCTTCGGGGAAGTGGCTTCCAGGTCAGTTACAGCTCCATTGTTCCAAATCTTGTGTCCGAAGCGTGCTCGGTCTTCAGCAGTAGGGTCTTACCTTCAAGTTCTGGGAGGCAATCAAGGTCTGTGCCAATAGCCTGTATAATTTTGGGAGTCTCTTGGACCAACCTGGCCAACAACTCAAAGGAAGGTTTCTTCTGTCTGGCACTGTTTCTTGTTATGCAGCCTTTAGCTATACACATGGACTCATTAGAGATATTGTATGTGTAATTTGTCATTAGGTTGTTGGATTAATCAGAGGTGGAACTTCTAAATGTCCTGTCTACACTGGGCATTACAGGGCTGTACTACCACATCTGCTCTATGCAGTTATGGGGATCAACTCTCCTGAGCTACATCTTCAGCTCTAGCTACTACATTTCTTAGATGAAGATTTTGACCATTGAAATTCATATTTGCCTCCCAGAATGCCAAGGTCTGATATTCTATGCAGATAACCAGGAAGGAATAATGTGATGAACAACAGGTAGAATGTAGTGAGCAATTACTGTGGATCAGGCCCTGACCTCAGCACTATGGGCAAACTCCACTTAACCCTCAGAACAAGCCTGCAAGGAAGACAGTGTTACCTTCTTCCTATTCATTGACAGTTAATAATAATGCAAATCATTACTGAAATATATTTATTGATGTTGTCATGGATAATGAAATTGTGTAAAGAGTACAGGTGACTCCCCCATCCAAACAGACCTAGGCAGTACTGAGGTCCGAGCCACCACAGCTGATGCCTAATGTATTCTTTAAATCACACTTTACATGACCTTTAGAGCTCTCAACGACTTGAAGTTTGATTGAACTGGAAGTTTTGATGTCTGTAACTTCTTTTATCATTATTATTTTTTGAGATCTAGTCTTAGTAGTCCATCATGGTTTTGAATTTCTTGTGTGATGACCTTAAACTCCTAATCCTCCTGCCTCTCCTCCTGCCTGCTGAGATTACAGGGTGTACCATCCTACCTAGTTTATGGGTGTTAGGGATTGAATCCCGGACTTTGCACATGCTGGGCAAACACTCGACATGCTGAATTGTACCACCAGCCTAAAACTTCTTACTTTTATAGAAGAAGAAACAGTGGTCTGGAGAAGTTGGGTTGAATTGTTCAAGGTGACAGCAGAGGTTTGAGTCAGTATGGGACACACACCCTCTTCAGCTTGGTGCCCTGGCTTTTCCCTTTCCTCCATGGGTCCACAGGTGGCAGTACACTTTGGTTGCTACTTGTACTAGCCTGATGGCCATATTTCTGAAAGCACAGCCCAGTGCTTACTTATAAATGTATAATCCCATGTCATCAAGAACTGTTGCAAGGAGGTCGTCCTGTTATGAAAATGGAGCTCAACTTTATGTTCTGGATCCTCCATGCTCAGTGATATGTGCCTCAATGTTCATTAAGGTCATTTAAGTGTCTCCGCTGAATTCTAATAACATTGAGGGCTTTTTGTTGTTTCTGTTTTTCAGATATGGAAAAATTGTGTCCACAAAAGCGATTCTTGACAAGAACACGAATCAGTGCAAAGGTATGTGCAAGCTCAGCGTACCCTGAGCCATCTGTGCCATTTGGTCAATTGAGCCTCCACCACTGAGGTCCAGGTCCTGGCTGCACAGTGATCACAGTGCACAGTTAATGACAAGCCCCTTTAATAATACCAATACTTTGATGGGTTGTATCTCTGGTAACATTGCTCATTAATTTTTTTCATTAACAAACAAAATGAAAATTACAAATCAGAACAAGTATCAAATTGCTTCAACATAAAACTAAATTACCTCCTAACAACTTCTGGTTTGTCTGATCTGAATGATATTATCAGTGATACAAATTGATTTCCTTTATAAAAATGAGGAGCACTGGGGAAAACTTTCCCATGCAAAGCATGTTTTAATTTCTCTGTTCTTCAGAGCATCAGCCACAATTTGTTGACTAGGAATGAATTTACTGATGGTCTGATTGTATCTTGGCTTTGACTATAAATATCTTGCAGGACTTCTGGGTGGGTATTTTTTGAAGTCAGGCTCTTTTTTTCTTCTCTCTGTTGTGGATATTTGAGAAGTCATTTGAGTATAGCTGTGGCTTACATTTCTTCATGTTTAGAATCTTGTGCAATGTTTAAAGGTTACATTAAATTATTTGTGGAATCTCTACAGTCTTTACTGCATGAGTTGGTTTTCACAGGGAAATTGGATTGCTGCTTGTCACACGTTATTTCTTGCCCTTAATCCAGTGTGCCTTGTAATACTGAAATCAAGAAGTATGTATGGGTGAGCCAAACTCATTGTAAAACCTGACCCTCTTTGTCACACAAACAGAATATGCACTAGTTTTAGTAAAGAACATTCGTACATTCCTAAATGCAGCCTATTCTGTTTGGATAATGGTAGTTAGATTCATTTCTGCCATGTTTCAAAGTATCTCCTGTCTCCAATCAGTTCAGAAATGCATTAGGTTCAAGACAAAGAATACTAGCCTGTACGTTCTACCATCAAATAGTTCAATTTATAATTGAAAAGAAACTAATCCTGGAGCTTGGGAGATATTTTAGTGGATAAAATTCTGGCTATGCAAGTGTGAGAATCGAAGTTTGGATCCCCAACACCCACAGAAAAGCTTAGCAAACATAGTGGCTTGCCTGTAACCCCAGCATTTAGAAGATGGATACCAAGATGCGGGAAGGGTTGGGGGATTTCCTTAGCAAGCTGGCTAGCTAAACTCACTGAATCTGTGAGCTCTTGCCTTAGTAATTAAAATAGAGGGTGATCAGACAAGATATCTGGCCTCCCCATTCCCATGTATACCTGTGTACCCACACATGGGAACATGCATATACACACACATAAACACACGTACACACAGACACAGCCACCCAGCCAGCCACACACACACACACATGCACGCATGCACGCGCACACACACACACACACACACACACACACACACACAGGATCAGGAGTATCCACAGAATACTATGGGGGAGGTAACATCTTTTGCTTGGGAATGGAATGTATAAAAACAAGACAAAAATGGGTAGACCAGGAAAGCTGGATGTTCAGGGAACAGCATTTCAGGCTTCTAATTTATATAGACTTAGAGCTGTTATGTAAAAGTCACACCAAAGAATGACTGCTGCTGTAGAAACAGGAACGGGCACAGAGTTTGGGAGGCTTTTAAAAATTGTATTTTGGATATTCGGAACCTAATTCTGTATGTAACAAGGTCCCATCATATTAACAGTTATTTGAGATCTGACATGATATGATTCTACATGTATTTCTGAAAAGTTGTTTTACCAAAAATGAGAGCAATTGAATTACAGGACAAGAAGTAGAGACACAAAAATAAACATACATAAGTTGTCAGTCTATATTCCAAGGAGGAAATGAAGAGTCACCCTGGTTCCTAATTACCATTAGCATATTGGAAAAGAGGTCACTGTGAGAGTTTTCAAAAGTACTTAAAAGTAGATAGACTTAGGATCTATCACATTTGAGGGAAAATACTGATAATTGCTGATGATGACCATGAAGTAAGTGGTAGATATTGGGAGGAGGACAGGAGGGGACCAAAGATTTCAAAGACTTGATTTGACCAGCACTGAAACAGCCATGTAGGTGGTTTTTGAACTTTCCAGTGAGGCACAAAGAAAAAGTCAGAAAAAAAAATGAATATAGAAGATACTATAGAGAAATAATTGGATTGACATTAGAGGTCTGCAGCCCATGGGGTTGGAGCTTTTTTATTAGATTTGATGGCTCTAGGTAAGAGTACAAGAAGGATCTTACTCACAGGTCCTATGGGAGGAGGGATATTAGAGAAACCAAACCAAAACAAATAAAACCTCAAACCTGAGGAACTGGAGAAATGGCTCAGCGGTTGAGTACTTCTTTTCCTGGAGAACTAAGTTCAGTTCCCACAAACCATGTCAGGGCTTATAACCACTGTAACTCCAGTTCCTGGGGATCTGATGCCCTCATCTGGCCTCCTTTGGTACCACACCTATGTGCATATACATCTACACAGAAACACACAAGTACATATAAACATAAATGAGAATAAATCTTAAACCTCAACTTGAAAGGCCTACAAGGGAATTAGTATGCTCAGGACAAGTTAAGTAACCATCAGAGACATAGAAATGACAGCGATTAGCACTGATAGCTTATATGCAATCAAGTAGCAGATGTAACATGTATGCCATCCTCTACAGGTTAATGTGAACATGGTCCATCAATTCCTCTTAGTACTGCTGTAAATTAGCAGTCTTTCACAAACGTCTATATGGGAGCCTGACATGGTGACACATGCCTTTAGTCCCAGCACTTGGGAGGCAAGGGCATGTTGTGAGATCGAGGCCAGCCTGGTCTACATAGCAAGCTCCCGGTCAGCGGGGGCTACAGGGAGACATACTTCAAAAAAGACCAGAAAGTCTATATGGAAAGAGCAACAAAGGACATGGCCTTGATATCATTAGGGCACTAAAATATTTTCTCAATTACTTTATTTAAACTTGTTTTCAAAAATATGCATATATCTGCATAACTCTAAACATTCATCCTCTACACTAAAAAACAGAGGAAACATCAAAGTTCAACTCCTGGAGCTAATAAAACTGTTTTACAGCTACTAAAATGAAAATCATGAGGGCTACAGTGTCAAACCTGGGAAATGTTTATCACATGATTGCCAGTCAATTAGGAAGGATATAAAATAATGTGTACTAAACATTGAGAGGTGTCAATATTTGACAGTCAGTATTGCCATGGTTACAGCTCGGGGAGTCTTACCATCTGGGTTGATCATTGCCTCTCTGCTAACCCTCTGTGTGGCCCAGGGTCAGTTATTCAACCTTGCTGAGCATTAATTTCCCTGTGTCTAAAAAGTTGCAGAAGACAGGGTGGTCTAATTCCTATGAACAATGTAAGTTGTGTGTGTTTGCATGTGCATGTGGAAGCCATAGGCTGACTTCAGGTGTTTTCCTTGATCATTTTGTATTTTAGATTTTGTTGTTTTGTAGTTCTGTTGTTTGTTTGAGATCTCATTATGTAACCTTGGCTGGCTTGGAATTCTCTACATAGACCAGGCTTGTCTCTGACTCACAAAGATATATCTACCTCTGCCTCCAGAGTTGTGTGATTAAAGATGTGCACCGGGCCTCCACCTTATTTTTGAGATAGGATCTCTCACTAAACCCATAGCTCACTGATTTAGTTAGCATGGTTGGCAGCAAGTCGTAGGAGACCATCCTGTTTCTGCCTCTCCAGTGCTGGAGTTACAAGCAAGCTGTACTCTGCCTGACTGTTACTTGGGTCCTGGGATTCCAAACTCTGGTCTTCATGATTGCAAAGCAAGCACTTTACCCATTGAGCTATCTCACCTCCCCCAAAAGACTAGCAATATTTATTTCTTTTTGTTTCTTGAGATCTGTATGTGTATGTATATGTGTTTATATGAATATGGGCACACATGTGTATGCAAGTACATGTGTGTGTAGATCAGAAGTTGACAGCAGGAGTCTTTCTTAATCAATTTCCATCTTGTTCATTGAGGCAGGCTTTCTCAATTGAGCCCAGAGCTCACCTATACAGCTAGTGTATCTATCTAGCTTGCTCTTGGGATCCTCTGTCCCCACTTTGCTAGTGCTGGAGTTACAGTTGTGCCAGCACACCCACATCGTGTTTATGTGAGTTCTGGGCATCTGAATAATGGTCCTCACAGCATTATGTATAGCAGCAGGGGCTTTACGTACTGAATCACTCCCCCATCCCCAGCCCAGGTCTAGCAATATTAAGGGAAACAAATATGTTTGCATTGGTGTGCGGGACTATGAGTAATATTATTTTAACATTTCTTTGAATCTGTTCTGTGGTACTTTTAGGAAAGAAAATTCAGGTCCCAGAACAATTTTGCTGGTTTCAGTTTTGTTTATATTTTGGTTGTTCTAGGAACTTCAGAAACTCATGACTGAACATTACTTGGTTTTTGTAAAACAATTTCATGAGTCGTATAGACCTAGAAGTCTGCTTTTTTAGAAAATAAGCAGAGGCTGAGTTTTCCACTGCAAATGCTTTCTGTCCTTCCTTTCCTTCTCCCTCCCTCCCCTTCCTTTCTTCTCTCTACCTCCCTCCCTCCTTTCCTTCTTCCTTTTTGAGACAGGGTCTCCCTATGCAACCCTGGCTGGTCTAGAACTACCTATATAGACCAGGCTGGGTTTAGAGTTACAAAGATCTACCTACCTCTGCCTCCTGAATGCTTAGAATAAAGCCACCACCACCAGGTATGGCTACCACTACCTTCTTAAGGAAAGAATTGAAAGGGTGTGTGAGGTGTTTTGAGGTTGGTTTTTAAATGACTAAACTCATGGAGGCTGTCATTAGAGAACACAATTGGATTTAATCTTCGCTGAAACACTTGCTCTTCAGTTATTTACAACCTTCCCTCCAGCCAGAGGCTAGGCAATCAAAACCACGCACTATGAAGACAAGGATTTATTTATTTTTGGTTTTAAAGATGTGATATGTAGTC